GTTGCAGACCACGAAAGCCGCCCGGCTTTCGTGAAAGCCGCCCGGCTTTTGCCCAGGCAGTCCAGTTTTGCCTTTCAAACGGTCTAGAACGGGGATTGATCGAGGGGCGTAACAAAGGCAACTATTGTAGCACATCACGAGGTGAGGATGGCTGACTCTATTGCTTATAATTAGTGAGTTAATTTCATAAGAATGCCTAAAGTAATTAGATGGGATTTTCATGGATTATTAATGATTAATAATGCCTAAATGAAAATAATATGGATATGAGTAAGTGAAGCATGATATACAAATTTAGAATAATTGTGTATGATTATGTGAAATGAATGGAATGGCTTGTTAATGGAATTACTATGATGGCATTGTGATAAAATATACTTTATTTCATGTATGAAATTCATGAATGGATTAAAGTGATATTTTTGATATTGAGATTAAACTATACTTTGGTTGAGAAATCAATGGAAATGAAATGCAAATTGGGAAATAGGAACTTGGCATGTTCTAAGGTTATCCAATTAGTATCAAAATACTAGTCGGGGAATTAATATAAATAAATGATGAAACAAATCCTAAGAGGTAGGATTGTGAATAGATATGCCTTAAGTAGTCTCAAGAGATACTTAAGGATGAATGGTATGAACACTAAGGTGTGATAGGGGTAGGCCTAAAGGCCACCTACGGGAATTGATTCTATGCATAGGACTTGCTTGAGAATTTGATTATGAGAATAATTAGAGTTGGACTCTAGGATGACATGGAGATGTAGTTGGGCCGAGCCCATGCCATGTAATATGATTAGCATGGAAACGTAGTTGGGCCGAGCCCTTGCCATGTATATGTGACCTCCGTGGAAACGTAGTTGGGCCGAGCCCTTGCCACGAAGTTATGGTTGGTATGGAAACGTAGTTGGGCCGAGCCCTTGCCATACAAATTTTGATATGATATATTGAGCTAGAGGATTGTATAGAGATGTAGTTGGGCCGAGCCCATGCTATACAATTGGGGCTCGATGGGACCCCACGGGGTTATCGTGACTCGCGGTCACGGGGGAATGGAAAAGACGAATTCTAAATGAGTATGGGCCTACGGGCTGACTACTTGACTTTATGTAAAGTAAGTACAATTAAAAGAAAGAGGGGTAACCGAGGGTTATGGCCTATAATATAATAGTACCCTAAGTTGAGGGTCTTGGAAATTAAAACGTTGATTATACTTAGTATAGTTGCTATTGTACTTGTCAAATATTTCCAAGTACTGACCTCCCCTTCACGGGGGAGGCCACCTCACAGTTTCAGGTAGAACTTGAAGGTCGCTGCCATTGCCCGTTGCTTCGGGAGGAATCAAGGGAAGAAGACGTGGTTCGTGCTTCTCCCGTTCTGTTTTAAAAACAATTACATTAATGCTCATGGATAATATTTTCTGAATAATTACTTTGGGGGCTTGCATGCCTAGTTATGCCAAGTGTGGCTTGAACAATTGTATTAATGCTTCCGCTGTTTTAAATGCATGTTTTACATTATGTTTGTTTATGGAGGTACTATGTGTGAATGATATTCATGACGCCTTGTATAGTATGGATGAGTTGGACTGCGGTTGACTATTCGTACTGTACGGCGGGTTGTTGATGTGTCCGGCTAGGTCCGGGGTGTGACACTCTCCATATCCTCTGATGATTTGACTCGAAAAACCACTGATTTTATTGAGCTTATTTCTTTCCAAAATTGGGATATCTTGTTTGATTCCAAGAATTGTTCCCATGTGTATCCCGAACTGATCTCATAATTCCTGGCAAATCTCATTATCAAAGATAGTACATTATCCTCCAGGGTGCAAGGTACCAAAATTCTGTTAAATATCACTGATCTGGGTAAAGTATTAGGTGTTCCCTGTACTAGTGTATGCCAATATAACAAAAATGAGTGGCCCCTAACTGATACTTCTCAAACAGTTGCACTTGAATATTTTGACCCTACCATTTCCGAGTCCTCTCTCCATGTTGCCAGTCTAGCTCCAATTCCTAAACTGCTGTTTTACTTTGTTCATCACAACATGATCCCTAGGCTACAAGGTAGGTTCACACCATCAAGAGTTGAACTAGCCTACATGTACCTCATAGCCAACAAAAATCCTATTAACCTTCTTGGTTTAATGATGGCCCATCTCAGTTCTATCATTAGTACATCATCCCGGAGGATTGAAATTCCATATGCCCCGCTGTTTACCAAAATATTTTTATCTGAGAAAATTGCTCTAGACAAATTCTCCTCTGAAGAAGCGTGTAAGATTCTGGATAAAAGGGGCCTTAGCAACTTAGGACTGGTTATCTTAAACTCTCACCTACTTCATAAACAGTCTGCTCCTTCGTCCTCAGAACAAAAACCCAGGCCAAAACCTACTCCAGTTCCCTCCATCGACCCAATGGTGGCTGTACCTCCAATCACAGATCGTATAAACCTCCTGGAGCACTTTATTCAACACCAATTTGCTTCACTTTCAGACTCCATCTCTGCTTTGGCACAAATGGTGGACACATTGGCGGCTTCTACCAACGTCATTCGCAATGATTTCCAATCTTTCAAGCAGGAGGTGGCTGCGAAGTTTGGTGACCCTGGTGCCACTCATAGAAGAATAATTTACTCCTCTGATGATGATTGAAAAACACTTCTCATATTAACTTTGGGTTGGGAGGCGTAATCTGTTACTAGACATCTTAAATACTTTAACCTTGGTGCACTGATACTCGGCATTATTTTGGTTCTTTTCCATTTCCTTTTGGTTGATGCCAAAAGGAGGAAATAATCAGGTAATCTGGGGGATTTTTTTTCAGGCACCTAAGGTTTGTCATCAACAAAAAGGGGAAATTTGTTGAATATTTAGTTTTGTTGATGACTAACTTAAACAGAATGAACACTATCCTTGGGTCCAAAACAATAATTCATTATTTAACTAACCATGCAGGTGGGACCTTTGGATAGAACTACTACCGGTTCTATCAGGAACGAACTTTGTTCTGTTTGATATAAATAATTTTCATGCTTGATAAGTGATTTAATTGATATATAGCTGCCTGACAATACCTCATCTATGAAGCTAAATTATTTTACATGTGGCACATCTCTCATACATGACTAAGCATTTACTTTAATGACTTAACCTATATATGTGTCACCTAAATAAATTCTTTGCCACTTTAATGGTAATTGACCGTAACATTTTTATATATGCAAAGAGAACAAGTTATCTTTCCATAAAGGTCAAACGAAATCTCGTTTTTGCTGCTACACTTAAACTGCTGCTACTACTATATTTGTTTACACGCTAATCTGGGGGATTTTTTTTCAGGCACCTAAGGTTTGTCATCAACAAAAAGGGGAAATTTGTTGAATATTTAGTTTTGTTGATGACTAACTTAAACAGAATGAACACTATCCTTTTGGTTGATGCCAAAAGGAGGAAATAATCAGGTACCTCGTTTTTGCTGCTACACTTAAACTGCTGCTACTACTATATTTGTTTACACGCTAATCTGGGGGATTTTTTTTCAGGCACCTAAGGTTTGTCATCAACAAAAAGGGGAAATTTGTTGAATATTTAGTTTTGTTGATGACTAACTTAAACAGAATGAACACTATCCTTGGGTCCAAAACAATAATTCATTATTTAACTAACCATGCAGGTGGGACCTTTGGATAGAACTACTACCGGTTCTATCAGGAACGAACTTTGTTCTGTTTGATATAAATAATTTTCATGCTTGATAAGTGATTTAATTGATATATAGCTGCCTGACAATACCTCATCTATGAAGCTAAATTATTTTACATGTGGCACATCTCTCATACATGACTAAGCATTTACTTTAATGACTTAACCTATATATGTGTCACCTAAATAAATTCTTTGCCACTTTAATGGTAATTGACCGTAACATTTTTATATATGCAAAGAGAACAAGTTATCTTTCCATAAAGGTCACCTAAATAAATTCTTTGCCACTTTAATGGTAATTGACCGTAACATTTTTATATATGCAAAGAGAACAAGTTATCTTTCCATAAAGGTCAAACGAAATCTCTTTAGGTAAGAATATTATCGTAGCATGATTTAACTACATGAATATCTTATTGCTACTTAATATCCATTGCATATTTACATGATAAGTGAATCTGTGCTTCCTTATATAACGGTGCGTAAATCATGAGTTGATTTACTCTTGATTGAACAAATAAACGAGAAACTACTGAAAGGAAAGTAATTCAAAAATATCAAGGAAAGTCTACCAAACTTCCAAAGGAAAGGAGAATCAACGGTCATCTTTCGTGCTATATATATAGTCGAAGACCAAAAGAAGAAGTTGTGCTTGAAGGAGTAATAAAAGGGAGAAAGACTTACGAGGAGTATTGAAGTCCAAAGTACCTGAACCTACGCACGAAATTCTAGATAGAGTTTCTTTTTCCTTCTTTATCTTGTAACTTGGTTTTCGAGGAAAAGCTAAGTGTAGCTTCCTCGGTTTGGGATCATGTGTGTTAGAGCTTTGTTGTAAAGCTGAGAGGCTCTCTACCCGCAAGGTAGAGATGCATAACCCTTCCTAGAGAGGATAGAGTTGGGGTGGCTCAAGGGTAGATTAGGAGAATTTATCTTGTAAACCCCTTTTTGGCTATTTAGTGAAGTTGTTCAAATTCCTCTTAGGGAGGTCGAGGTTTTTTAATCCTATGAGTCAAGGGATTTTTCCTCGTTAAATTCTTGTATCTTTATTATTTCGCATTTCTCTACGCCCACAATAGAACTGTGCGAGAATCTGTCACAGTTCCACAGAAACACAATTCACCCCTCTTGTGTTACTAAGCGTTTCATCATCGACGCATCAAATTAAATGTCACAAAATCATGAGGGTGAAAACGAAATCATTTTTAAATTTGTTAGTAAATTAGCTTAAAAGAGGTGGAATGGTAATTAACCTCACAAGAGTAGATATAGGTAGGTGAAAACCTATAGTATAGTATAATAATGTCTCGCTCCCATTGATCGATCAAGTAGCTGCAAATTAATTAGCATATTCTTGTATGCACTACGTACGTACGTAACTACTACTACTAATACAAGAAGTACTACAATTAATTAAATTAATTAAGACAGGATAGTGGCTGCTTCACCTGTTGAGGCTGGGAAAATAAAAATTTAATTTAATTAGCTAGCTAGCTAAAGTCGGAGGGAGCTGAGGGAAAATAAAAATTAAACTTAATACTCTACAAAATCATTTTTCTTTTTTACCCTTCCAGCCGCCGCTGTTCTTCTTCGGCGGCGGCCGCCTGTTCTTGTGGGAGTACTCTGGAGCCGCAGCTCTTGCACTATGGAAAGACGACGCTTCCCTAATTTCTCCATAATAATAATAATAATAATTATTATTATTATTATTCTGAGCATCAGCAGCAGCAGGCAGCATCTGCATCTTCACCGGGGCTTCAATGTAATTTGACGAGCAACTGAGGAGCAGCTTCTCATTATTATTATTATTATTATTGTCCTCCTCATCATCATGAACCCTAACGAAGTTGCTCTTATTAGAAGCCGCAGGCGGGGGAGAATTTCCATGAACCCACGACCTGCGGCGGCGGATTGTGGTAGGGCCGGAGGAGGCATCGGAAGCCATGGAATCATCTGTGTCGTCGTCGTCGTCGTCCTGGTCAACTACTACTTCACGGCTGCCGCAGGTAGTGTTGTTTTGTGGGTGATAGAAATTAACGTTGTTGTTGGTGATGATGGCCGTTTCATCATCATAGGTGGTGGTGGGGGAGGCAGCAAGGTACATAGTCCACCCGGATTCGCAGCTACTGTGGCATTCCTCTGCGCGGGGAGACGACTCCATCGCTAGCTAGCTAGAGCTTCACCTCACCTCACCTCCTTAATTCAATGAATAATATACCATACCAACCACACATATATATATATATATATATATATATATATATATATATATATATATATATATATATATATATATACACATACATGCATATATATATGGGAATGAATGAAAGAAGCTTATAAGGAATTGATGGAGCCAAATTAAAATTAAATACAGACAGATGGAATTTATGGATAGTTACGTTACAGCTGATGAATGAGGGAGGAGAGGGTAGGCCAATTAAAAGGCAACGTTGTATGTATAGTAGTAGTACGTAGTCTAGGCCGCATAGCAGGAATTAATTGAGAAGCACATGCATCATTATATATACTTGTGCGGGCTTTATTGCACTTCTCTCACCTCATTCTCTCCTCATACTCACACACAATTTGGACAAGGTGACAACTCCGGTACCTTTCTAAAAAATGGGGTACCGTACCTATCCTTCATTTCATTGGTTCACATCACTTTATCGTTTTTAATTTAGATTTAAATAATTCAACTCCTACATTTTCATTGGTCCATGTGGACAAAGGTATGATACTTTATGGGTACCATAGAATCTACCTTGGGGCAAACATTAATTAATGATTAATTAGTTTATGTGTTAATTTAAGAGAACTGAGGCCGGGTCAGGTAGTTATGCATGGAAGCACATGGGGGCCGGGGCAAGCTAAGCCCATCCACACACATATACTCCGTATATTTGTACGCAGTGGGTACATCATTTCGAGTAAAAAAAAAGCCAGCGAGAGTTGACCCTCGGGAAACTCAGGTACCGAACTCGTAGTCCAAAGAGGTTGTGTGTTCCTCTTTAGTGAAACTGGTCTTGCCAGCGGTGAATTTTGATTGTTCATGGTTCATAAGATTTGTTCAACATAAATCTTATAATACTCAATTCCTCGCTCAACTGGATCTCATTTTCGGTGGCTGATCAAATTGATGAATTGACCAATTTCTGCTCGTTTGAGTTTTCTTTACTGGTTACTCGTCAAATCAATTCTCCCTCTTTGGTGGCTATTGAATTCAGATATTTTTTTGTATTTTTTATTATTTCCTTGGAGTATCAAGTTCACCAAGACTATTAGACTAGACTACATTATTGTGGGATTAGCGATCTAGATAGATTTGTGAAATCGTTTCCATTATATGTCTCATGTCATTGTAGCCTTAGACTTTTCAGAAAAAATGTCAATTCTTCCTATCTTACCCATTACCATATCTTAATGAGCTAAGTCGGCTTCCACCACCGCCAGTTCTGACCTTCAGAAAAAATGTCAATTTTGCATCAAGAACGTCATCTAGGCGACAGTTCCATAGGAAAATTTGACATTTTCAAAGAGTAACATTGTCATCTTCATGTCATTTTCGGAAAAGTTACTATTTTTACAAAAGATGACATTTTTCCGATAAAGGCGGCAGAGGTGGCAAGACTGCAAGAGAGGCGTCTAATTTTTAATTCTTTATGTGTTTTTACTAATTTATTTATTTATTTATCTATTTATATATTTATTTATTTAAGTATAAATTCTTAAGTTAAAAAAACAATATTTTTCCCTTATTTTTATACTTCTTTTTTTATTTTAACGATTTTATTATAAATAAAAATGTTTTTATTATTATTTTGTTTCTATCATATACGGATATAAAAATATGATTTTTTAATTTAATTTTTGTGAGGGTAGAATAGGAATAGAGAATATAATGTATTCGTACTTTGGAAATATATACAGTTTCTTTTTTAAAGAAATATATACACTTATAATTCTAGCTATTTTTACATTTTGGGTTGCATACATAACTTGTTTTACCCCTATTTGATATCTGGAACAATTTTCCCATATTAGTATTTAAGTGAGAGATCAATTAAAATCCTTGAATAGACTTCGTATAATGACGTAATTAAAATAAAACTAATACTCTGTCGCGTGATGATGACCAAACTGAAAATTTTATTTTGTATACACTCTTACATTTTTTGGGATAATTTAATTTGTTATCAGTTTACATTTGAGTGCGTTTGTACCCCTTAATTATTTCAAAAAAATGTTGGTGCGATGTAGGGGAGTACGGTACGTACTTTAGGTTCTTAATTTAGAACTTAATTGGCATTCAAAGAAAATAGTCGGAAAATGAAGCAGCAAAAAAGCCTTAAAAATATTCGATCTTCTGAAGGAATGAATTGAGTGGATAAAATTTTACAAAACAAAACAATTATGTATGTATCTCAGCTCTGACTTATACATGCATGCATCATCAGCTTGCAGATCGAGGAGGCACAGGCAGAAGCTGTCAAAGCAACCCCCGCCTTACGTACAAATTGTATAAGAGATAACCCCGCCATCCCCCACCATTCAAACCAATTATATACTCCCTCCCGAAAATGTTGACCAAATTTCTTTTTTTGATATTCCAGAAATATTTGTCATTTCAATTTAAAGTAAGGAATATGTGATTAATTAAAATTAATTCTCTCTCCTCTGCACAAATTTCAATCACACGGTTTGTACTTTACTAATCCACGTGAAAGTTAACTTTGGCCAACTTTTTCGGGACGGAGGGAGTACTATGTATATTGAAGCTCAGCTCCTCAATTAATTACACCTTCCCTCCTATTTTGTAAGATACGTTTTCTATTCACTTGATCAACACAAACTACTCTTAATCTCTTACTTTATATATTAAATTTTAATCAAATTTGATTCTGGTTTTTGCGACTTTGTAAAGCCTTTAATGTAATTTTTGAATATGTAATTCTTTTCTTTTTTTCTAAAATAATTTGAATGCAGACAAAGATCTGTTTGCTTTATCGTCGATTTCAAACACCCCTATGTTACTCCTCCGTTCCGTTCTAGACTTCTAGCCGTCTTAATTTCATTTTTGAATTGTTTCAAGATAAATGTCATGTTTCACTTTTTGTCGAAGAATATGTATTTTATATCATTTTACTCAAATCTCAACCATAATTTTTACTTTTCAAGCATTGTTTTAATCGGTTAAAAAAATCATTTTATTAATAATTGTGTTAAAGTAAAACAAGATATTAAATGTGGGACATAAGTAAGGCACTTTACGGTTTACGATGTTTGAACTGATTTTGCTTCTGCTTCTTTTTTAAAGCAGGAACAAAATCAAAATCTGTTTTTGAGATGCTGATCTCTCTCTTGTCTCAGCTTCCAAAAAATTGCTTCTATCACTAGTTTGGAGCACGGAGGACTATTGTACATCTTGATCCAAACACTTTAATATTTGTTTTTTTTATCTAAATAAGCAAAGCAGTTTTAAAAAATGGGTCCAAAGACTCCCATAATATGCATGGCCGGCCGATGGAATTGGCCGGAGGTTACTGTCATCACATCACTCTACTCTACTGAGCTCAGGCCATTATACATATTGGGGTTTCCATCGATCAAGAGCGCGCGCGCATATAGGTGTATGTATATACGAAGTATGTATGTATACACACACACATGGGCGGAGACAAGGGGTGGCCAACCTAGGCCATGACCCACCCCAAATTTAAAAAATGGCTTAATTTTTAGTGTAAAAAATTCTGTTTAAATTTTTTTTCAAAAATATTCTTTGTACCGGCCCAGTCCAGCTCAGTGCCCTGGCTCCGCCCCTGCACACACACATAAATATAAAATATTTACTTCTGGCATGGATGATGGATCTGTTACGTGTGATTAATATTAGGAGTACGTTGGCATGAATGCACGTTGCAGAGATGCAATCAGGGTTCACCCTATCTCATCTCATCTATATGCTACAGTATATACACGACAGCAGAGAATATAATTGTGTTTCCTTGTTTCTTAATGAATCTAATTAAATTAATTATATTGCGGCTAAATTGGTCACATCTATTGAATTACGAAAAAAATTAATTTAAAATACTTTTTATTAATAAAATAGAATAAAAATTATATGCAAATAGTTAAAATGACTATATACAAATCACTTCACACAATTCATTCGGGAAAGTAACTCTAGGTTACAAAGTAACTCTAGGTTACTTATTTTAGTTATTAGATAATTCAGCGCACGAAATCATCAAGAGTGTTAAGACTCATGGTTCCATCCTAAAAGATCGATCAACCTGAAAGAATTGGAGGAAAAGCCCAAAATCTAATATATATATATATATAGTGTTCATTGTTTTAAAACAACAATATCGTGTGAGACAAATTCTTTAATATGCTCCTTAATCTAAATCGAGCCGGACAATATCGGGATATATAAACAGTGGCGGATCCAGAAATAATACGTATTGGGGGCGCAATTTCAAAATTTAAGCTAACGAAAAAACTACAGCTAGTTGATGTTTGTTAGACATAAGTCTCTATCTTCTAGCTTTTGTATTATTTAAAAGGTCTCTAAAAGCTTCTAGTTATATATTTGTTGGCATGACAATTTATAAGAGTTTCTGTAGAAATAAAAGATCTTTTTTAACATGTTACAGTGAGTAGCATCCGAAAATATTTGTATCTTTCAACATTATATTAATTAGTCTCAACAGTTTGTATGCTGAGTTTTTTAAAATAATTATAAAATAAAAAATAGGAAAGTTCCCGAAATAGGAGTAAACGGATTTTAGAATTTCAAGACAGGACTACTATATTTTTTCTTCCCAAAATAGGATTAACGTGACAGTATTTACTGTTATCTTGTGGTATGTCAAATAGTTATAGTACTAGGCATTAAACATGATAATATTTACTACTCTGTAATATCATTAATGACAATATTTTCCAATCGTAGCAGTATTTTGACTATTTTCAATAATGACTCCTATTTTTGAAGAAAAATATAATCATTCTATTTAGAATTCCAAAATTTATGTACTTCTATTTAGGGGAATTTCCCAGAAGAATTAGCTGATATTTATAAATAATAACGTAAATACCATGCAAGTCATATTCAAATAAACTAATTACTAAACAAAAAACTCATTGTAATTGCTATCATCATATTTCTA